TGGGAATCGATCATCATGTTTCGGTTTTGCAGACATATAAGAAAAATGGGCATATCTAAAAGGGAAACCGCGGTTCCTCACAATCTGAATTGCTGATTTACTGATCCTGAACTAGTTTTTGGCAGGTTCACTATTTTTTCATGTTTTTTTCGTCAGTTTATTGTTTTTTTCCACAACAGAACAATAATCCATACCACCAATTCATCGATTTGAACCGGTTTTTGGGTTACACAATCCGAGTCACCGATCTATTTTTTAAATTATTGCTAAAAAGTGTTTCTAGAATGGGAATAATTTCTAAAATCCATGTGGCTAACCATAAACAAAAACAACTTCAAAAGTCGAAGGGCTTATTCTTCATATGAGAGAAAAAAATGAAAAAATTCTTGAAAATTACATTTCCTTTTCAAGGTATGTGCATATTTCCGGTTCACGAAAGTAAAATTTATACTTAAGAAATTTATTTAAATACACATATGAGATCAACTATTTACCAATTTAGATCAACTATTTAACATTTTAGATAAGGGTTTGTTTAGAGCTAACAACCCTTTAAAATACAAAGGTTCAAGTTAGAAGAGGTTGTGATGGGTGTATTTATCAAAACAATCATTATTTTTTTATTAAAAATTTATTTAAATAGGTAACTTTACCATTAAGCAATGACAAATTTGAATTCTTACAAAAGTACAATAACATTTTGGAAGTTCGTGTCCTATATATTTATTTATAGAGTGTCTTTGTCTTTTAGTTAAAATTTCAATTTTACCTCTCATGAAGATGACAAAATACCATTTAGTATTATTTACAAATTTATCCCACAAAAATAAATTTTTTAAAAATAGACAATAGAATTAATAAATCCATCCTTTACAACTCCCTCTATCTTGAACTTTTGTAATTTGAAGGGTTGTGAGTTTAGAATATCCCTTTTAAGTAAAATACTTAACATTTCACTCATATCTTTTCATTTAATTTTCAAATATCCTAAAAATATTTCCGTGATTTGGAATAGTCGAAAAAAGTTTTGTTGTTAATTCGTTCAAAAGTTAGGTATAAATGCTCCTTTATACTTGCATTACATGTGGAGCTCTCTTAATACACACGCTTCAGCAAGTGACTACTAAAATGAATATTCTATAAATATCTTTCGGTTCCTTTCACTTTTCTTAATGACCAATGTGGTCCATGCGTTCTGATACCAACCGTCTACCTAATATAAAAAAATGTGAAAAATATTAAAGAGAATTACAAATAACCAAGGATAGATTTCCTATTCAATTTAGCCCCAATCATTTTTTTTTTTTCGCTTTTTACTCCAAAATTAACTTTCCTAGCAAATACCTCCGAATCATTAAAAAAGTTAAATGAAAATTAAAATATACTCTGAAAAGCATGCGATCTAGCCCAAAATGGGGTGGTAGGTACTTTGCTTTTGGAAAGTATGCGGTTTGGCACAAAACAAGGGCGGTCCAACACAAAATAGGCGTGGTCCGACACTTTAAGCGTATGGTCCGACACAAAATGGGGGCGGTCTGACACTTTGGGCTTCTGAAAAGCATGCAGTTCGATACAAAATGGGGGCGGTCTGACACTTTGGGCTTTCGAAAAACATGCAGTCCGACACAAAATATGGGTGGTCCGACACTTTGGATATGCGGTCCGACACAAAATGGGGGTGGTCTGACACTTTGGGCTTTTGAAAAACATGCAGTCTTATGTTAGGGGCCTCATGCATATGAGTACGTTTTTAGTGTACTAAATATTTTTGGACACTCATTGCCCCTCTTGTTTGTAAAATGATTTTTTTTAATAAGGACATTTTTTATCATTAAGAAGTGTAAGATATATATTTTTATAATAAATTAGTGGCATTTTATTAATGGTTAAAAAGTAATAAGTATTCCATATAAGTGTCTTCAAAATTGGAATTGGCCATTGAATTAGTAGGAGGTTTGATCCAGTCAAAGCTCGTCCACCACACAGTCAAATTGGTTTGACTAGCTTTAAAAAAAAAATGCAATGATTTTAAAATGTCAATATATTAAAAAGTTTGCCAATTTCATTTAAATGATCGTTTGTTCTATTAATCAAATGTTGATTTGACAAATTTAGTTACCAAACTCGATTTTTATGTAGGATTAAATTGGCCAAGGAACCAGTATGTACCGTTTTGGTCTAGTCTTGATAACGGTCTACCACACAAAGATGTTAAAAAGATAGAAAAAAATAAAGGGAAAATATCTCTATATTCCCAATTTTCAAGTTTTATATCTCATTAGACCCAAGGGTTCAAAACATACATTGGGTCATAAAAATTATAAGTCTTGTATCTTCTAACCCCCTAAACTAACTTTATCCCTTTAAAATATATTTTATTTTTTCCAAATAAATATAATAAAGACACCATCTTTTTTTTCTTTTTCATGTGATTTTTCTCTAAATCTCTCTCTCCATGACTTTTTCTAAACCCTCTCTTTCTCTCCCTATTTTTCCACTCTCTCTCTCTCTATGGTTTATTTATATATATATATTTGTTTGATTTCTGTAGATTTTTTCTATTAATTGGTCAGATATTATTCACATGGATGATTAACTGTATGTAGAATGAGAGAGAGGGGTTTCAAGAAACACTGGGTGGAGAGAGCAAAAGCGATAGACCTAGAGAGAAAAAGTGGGGAAAAATACAAAAAGAGAGAATAGTTATGGGAGAATATCAAGGAAGAGAGAGAAATAGATAAATTTGAGGAGAATATATCACATAAAGAGATGAAGAGTTTATAATGAGCATGTTTTTTTTATATTTGTTAGGGCTAAAGAAATAGTTAAAAATAAGTAAAGTTAATCATGGTTAAGAATATATTTGAAATTCTTAAATCTATTAAAATGTGAAAATAAAAAATAAAAAATACAACGATATTTCCCTAATTCAAAAAATATGCACCACCGTTTATTCTACTTTGTGATATCTTTGTGCATCGCACATCATCATCATCATCATCATCATCATCGCACATCATCATCATCATCATCATCATCATCTTCATCATCATCTTCTTCATCATCATCATCATCATCATCATCATCATCATCATCTTCATCATCATCATCATCTTCATCTTCATCTTCATCTTCATCATCTTCATCTTCATCTTCATCTTCATCTTCATCTTACATGTTTTACCCGCGCTATTATTTTCGCATGTCACCCTCCATCTATAAAGCCAAACGAGTACCATCTGGACTGCCTTTAACTTTGTATATGTTCGACCATGTTGTATTCCAAGCAACCAAACAAGACCTAATTAGACATACTTCTGTTGCATAGAAGTTTTTCCAAGCAACCAAACAAGACCTAGTTAGACATTTCTCTTGCATAGAAGTTTCTTATGGGCGATAAATGGGTTGAGTCGAGATGGATTGATCCCGATTTAGATCCGCTATGCGCCAACATATAAAAAATTATATTTTGTTATAAAATACATATTTACTACAACGAAAAGTTTATATAAAGTTGCAACTTTAAAATATAGAATCACGGATGCAGCTCAAAAATCTATTGGAAATGTTGTTCTAATGTGAAAAGACACTCTAACTTATCATTTCGATATCGAGATATATGAACATGAAAAAAAATAAAAATTTGAGTCCCGAAATAGTGCATTGTGCAACACATTATCTAGACTATCCATTTTCAAGATTTTCATTTATTTATAGATCTACTTGATTTTAACCATTTTTGAAATTTTAAATTTTCTAACTAGGTACGAAAATAGATTTTAAGATAATACTAAGAATTTTTTATAACAAAATTACATTTTATGATAAAATTTTAAGGTGCACCTTAATTAGATTGTTTAAGGTTGCAATCTTATAGAAACCACACCTTTTATTATATAATAATATCTATTAAATATGTATATGCCTAGCCATGTTGGGGTGCCGAATAGACCCGAATTTATCCATGTGATACTGACCCTGGTGGGTTTCAATTCAAATGGAAGATCCAACTCGTTGTATGCATCTTATGGTCCATATTTGAGCCCACGATTTCGAATGATAGACTTGCCGGGTCCCGCTCTGTAACACTGCATAGTTTTGTACGCTTTCATGCTCCTCAGGAACGTATTGTCTAGTTACTCCCTGAAGCAAACCTCAATCTAAGAATATTTTTAAGATCCTAAATTTTTGAAATGTAACTTCTTCAACCCACATGCTATACTCATAAAAACAATTTCTAAATAGCATCTCTATGGGCTTGAATAAAATAATGCATTAAGATTGAATAGATACCGTCTGATTTTTTTGTAGGTGATATCTAAGTATTAGGAAGCTCAAAATTAAGTTTTTTTACTTATGATCATTGGCTGATTTTTAAAGCATCCATCGTAAATATGTAGTCCTTTTAAAAACAATTGAAACTAATGGTTCAAATATTTTTTAATAAAATTATTATTTACACTTTTTAAAATTTATGTATTTATTCATATTCATATTCATGATTTAGAGGTTACGTATCTTTAAAAATTAAACGCAAAAATCTATCTCAAAATATATTTATTAAGTGGCCCGTATTTCTACAAGTGCGGGCTTGTGCCGCATGCTAACCGGTCCTTCGAACATTGATAAATACGTTCTCTCTTTTCCCGTAATGCGAATCTGTGTCGACCCATAAGACCCCCACAACAAAAACGGCATATTTGGGCGTTTTTCCTATCTCTCTCGAACGCTCTGGTTTTTTTATCTGCCTCAGATGGTAAACTAAGCAAGAATCTCTCTCTGCAAAAATAGAATTGAGAAAATCGTAGCTTCTAGGGTGTAACATCGCAGTTGCAGAAGGGTTAAAGCGTGGATACATTGACAAGGGAGGATGTATAACGGGATGATGGATCCTGAACTCCTTAGGTTAGCTCAAGAACAAATGAGCAGAATATCCCCTGATGAACTTGCCAAGCTTCAGCAACAAGTAAACTGTCCCTCCTTGTTCTATAATCTCTCTCTTAACTATTATTTTTTTTCACCTTCTGGTTTGTATACTTGCGTTTTTCGTTTATTGATGCTTTTTTAGGTTTTTATTGTTCACATTTCAGGCTTGATTGATTCCATTGTTGAGGTTTTAGGTTTGGATCAAACTGATTATGACCTCAATTTGGCGTCTTTGATATTCAACTCTGAAAATGCCTTACTAATTTATGCGACTTTGGACAAATCTGATATATTCTGGTAGTTTTGAAGAATTTCTAGGAACACATCTGAAGATTTTCCATCTATAACATCTAGGAATTGCTGTATCAGATGAATTTTTGCGTACTTATATCAACTTTCTCATGCTTTATTCTTGGGTTTTAGTGAAAATTGGAGGATTGATCTTATTCTCATTTATGCTTTCATATTTGGCCGATTTTGTTTCATGTTCTGTGATTAGAGAATCTGCAGTTCATGTTTTGCCCTCTGATTGAGCCGATTATTCTTCGTTATATTTTTATTTTTAAATATGAATGATTAGAATGATAAGAATGAACTGGTATTTCTCATGAACAATGCATGATATGGTAGATGGTTGTCAGTAATTTCACTTGATATGCCTTGGAATCTCAAATCAAGTGTGGATTATTTGGGCAACCATATTAAGAGATATTTGGGGAGTAATCTTTGATCTACCCATCACAAAAAGAACTATTAAATTTCAGAATTAATTATATTAGCATAGCATGATTCTGAACATCATTATCATCATCCTCATTATTATTTTTTCTGAGAAATATGTTAACTTTGTATTTATAGTATAAATTACAATATGTGAAAACCTAAGGACGGCATCCCACGTGTTGGGTGATTAGACAACATCAATTACTGATATGGGCAGGTAGAGCAAAGAAAAGAGAGTGGGGCAGGTAAAGCAAAGAAAAGAGAGTGGGGATAGAGAGATAAACACGTGAGAAGAAAGAAACTAAGATTAAGGGAGAGTATACATAATAGAGGACCCAACATAGGTACTCAAAAAAAAGGGAAAAAATCATGGCGCAAAAAAGAGATGAAATATGAGATTTCTGTTGGGAGAGCTGTACGGAAGCTTCAGATTTGAGCATGAGTGTGATAGAAGGGCTCAACTGATCGTTGAGAACAGCTATCCACTTAAGTAGCAACTCGTTGAACCGAGGTGATGTACCGAGAAGAATAGAGGAGAGATGGAGAAAAGAGAAGAGGGGGGGGGGGGAGAATACGTAGAGAAAGAATTATGGGAGGAAAATTAGGAAAAGAGAGTGGGGATAGAGAGATAAACACAGATGCTTATGACTTGAGCACATCAAGTGTGACGGAAGGGCTCAACTGGTCTACGAGAATGGCTATCCATTGAATTAGCAAGTCGTTGAACCGAGATGATGTATTGAGAAGAAAAGAGGAGAGGGGGAGAAAGAGAAGAGGGAGGGGGAATACGTAGAGAGAGAAAAATGGGAGGAAAATTAGGAAAGTAAAGGCAGGGATAGAGGAGATGTTGAAAGAGAGGAAGGGAGAAGAGAGAAAATAGGTGTGGGTGGAGGTGAGGGTGGGAGGGGGAATAGACAAGAGGAAGAAGGTGAAGAAAGAGAGAAGGGGAGGCAAAGAAATGAGAGACATAATGGATGCATGGATAAGGGAATGGACCCCCACACAAATGCTATTATTTGAGCCTTATCCCAACTATTTGGGATCGGCTACACAGTTCCTATTCTGCCATTTCGCTTTATTAATTGTTGTATTATCAGTCAAACCAAACGTCACGAATCTCTTCTAACTACTTCCATCAATGACCTTTTGGGCCTTCCACTTCATCCAAATCGGCCCTCGTAATTGATGTTGGTCTAGGTCGACGTTGCACATGGCTAGCCTACCTAAGTCTGCTTTCTCTCATTTTATTGCCCATTGGAGTCGTCCCTAAGTTCGATTTGATGTATTCATCTCGAATTGTATCTTTTCTTGTCTTGTCACTTACCCATCTCAACATCCTCATCTCAGCGAAGCTCATTCTATGAATATGTTGTTTCTTGATGGCTCAACATTCTATCCCATAAAGTATGATTGGTCTTACAGCCATCCTATAGAGCTTCCCCTTCAGTTTCACTTGTATGCGACGATCACATAAGATTCTGAAGATATATCTCCACTTTGTCCACCCAGCTCTAATTCTACATGTGATATCTTTCTCAGTAGATTATCGACCCAAGATATCGAAAATAATATCTTTAAGGTGCTTCTTGGCCATCAATCTTAACTAATTCCTCGTTTCTACTTCTATTACTAAACTTGCATTCCATATATTCTGTCTTAGTCCGGGTAATTTTGAATTATTTTGATTCTTGAGTATCGCTCTAAAGTTCTAACTTTGAGTCAAGGTCGTCTCTAGTCTCATCGATCAAAACTACGTCATCTGCAAAGATGATAGACCACAGTAGCTCATCCTATAGATGCGTAGCTAACTAGTTGGTAACCAAAACTAAGAGATATGGACTCAATGCTGACCCTTGATGTAGGCCTATTGTCACTAAAATATCTCTCCGCTAGTTAGCACTGCCTTATATATTTCTCTCACCAAGTCAATATATCCTCTAGTTTCACATGTTTCTAAATATTTTAGATATTAAACTTGAATATCCATTACTTGCAAAGATCAATCAAAACTTCTATTTCTCCCATCATCCCATGGAAAGGCTATGTTTTTTATAAAAATTGAATTTTGATTTTCAAGTTTAAATGTCTTGAGAAAAAAAAATTTACTCTTATCATGTAAACTTTTTTTTACTTCGAGAAGCAGGATAACAAACTGAATCTCTATAAACCAATGTTTTAAAACTCGGGCGAGTTGACTTGGACTTGCCCGAGCAACTTGCTAGGGTTTCAAGTCCACAAGGACCCAGGCAAACTCTGCTGTTTCTTATTTTTGTTAATATTATCTCGGTACAGACTCGGCTGAATCTGTATGGACGACTCGTACTTGGGGAGTCCCAAGTCCAAGTCTTTTAAAAACATTGCTATAAACTATATAGTTAGCTTTAGTGTTCTCTTATCAGGTCCTTTATTCAAAAGCATTTTAACTCATCTACCAAATTTTCTTAGATAATGAATGATGTTCACCTTAATGCCATCTCCAGCTGCACGGTTTCCTCTTATAACAGCCCATGAAAACACTTCAATTATGTTCCCTCCAAATATCCCGAATATTTGCATGAGCCTTTATCTTATGGATACCCATCATGGAAAATTGGTGCGAGGGGTACACAACTACCCATAATGGTAGAAAGCATGAACTATTTTAAATTCATAGATTTGATGCTTATAAAGGGAATTCTTTGTTAGTTGGGAAAAGGATTCGATGATTCGATGATAATGATGATGAAAGGGAATTCTTTATGTGACATGTCAAATGCATTTGTCAATTTCGGAATACATTCTTTTATTTAATTGAGATCATATGTTATAGTACTCATTACAAGTGTCTGTGGCTTTGTCTTCTTCTTTCCTATATCGTTATGAATACGATTTGGTAGCTATCTATTATAGAGGTCGGTTGAGAGTTCTTCAATTTGGTCGTGGAGATTTTTGCATGACTTGTGACAATCATATTTTTTTGGGTTTTGTCCCAATTGTGTGGCCTTTATCTTCACAGTTTTTTTCATCATTATTATAATTAAACAGATGAATATGGTTTGATTTGGTTTTTTTGGTTGCGTGCACATGCTTGTATCATGTATAGATGATGGCCAATCCGGAGTTAATGCGTTTAGCCTCAGAGAGTATGAAGAATATGAGGCCTGAAGATCTAAGAAGTGCTGCAGAGCAGCTAAAAGACACAAGGACAGAAGATATGATGGACATAGGAGAGAAAATTGCAAAGGCTACACCAGAAGAAATTGAAGCCATGCGTGCTCATGCAGATGCAAAAATTTCTTATGAATTAAATGGAGCTGAGATGCTAAAGAAGCAGGTCGGCATCTGATTTTGTATTTGTGGATGAAAGTCATATGTTTATCAAAATTTTATGTATTTTTTTCATCCGTGAAATGACAGTGCTATGCATTTTATTCAAGTTTCTTGTCCCAAATGGTTCGATCGTTTACATGGTTGGAGCTGTTTTTACTGTTCCTGTGTTTTGTCATGGATAGATTGAATTGTAGAAACTATCCAAGTATTGGGATCCTAAAATGTACATGACAAATCCCAAGTTTGAGTTGTTCGGTGATTGTTTAGTTGATACATTGGATTATGATGTTGTTTTGCATTTTGAAGTTTCCTCTGGAAGTCTTTCCACATGTAACTAAATTTTGCACATATTGCTTTTGCAGTTTTATCTTATGATAATTGTCTGAGATGGCTGTAGTTTTCAAGTAATGTTTATGGACATTGGATGATTTTTGTGAGTGGCAACTTTATCATCTCTGGCTCGCCTATTGACATTTCAATAATTTTCCACGATGGGGGGACCTATTAGTATATGGAAGAAAGCCAAAATGCCTGTTTCTTAACAGTGCCTCAGCTTTCATCTGTGGAATCACAAATGGCAACCAGATCTCGATGATCTTGAGTGGCATGCCAAGTTTGTCTGTAACTAAACCACCAAACCCCAATGGCCCTGGCTTCCGTAGAAGTTAGTGCCAACCCTTGATTTTGAAATATCCGTAACTTATGAAAGACTTTTTCTTGTTAATTCCGAACATTGAAAGTGGTTACTGTTGTGTGTATAAGTTATGCTTGGTACTCATATGTCCTATATATGTCATGCCAGTAGTCATTTTTGCTTAGTTATATACATTTCATTCCAATCTGCTTTTACTATTTGTCCGAGGTTTGATATCTATTTATGCTTGGTACTCATATGTCCTGTATATCTCATGCCAGTAGTCGTTTGTGCTTAGTTATATACCTTTTCTTTCCATTTACTCTTAGTCTGAGGTCTGATATCTATTGTATATTTACATATCTTCGTCATCTTGGCAGGGAAATGATCTTCATGCCCAAGGGCTGTACAAAGAAGCTGCACAGAAGTATTTGCTTGTCTGTCCAGAAACTTCTAGTTTTGAAATTCGTGATTCTTGAAGAAGTCATCATCTTCAGAATAATGTGTTTTAATTTTGGCTGGCTTTCTTTTTTTTAGGCAAAGACCAACTTGAAAGATGTACCTTTCTCCAAAGCAAGAACTCTCCGAATGGCATGTTCACTGAATTTAATGTCGTGTTACTTAAGATCCAGTCAGTATGAAGATTGCATCAAAGAAGGTTCTGAGGTGTGACACTTTTTATTTTTATCCTCATGTGGTTATGAATGGATTTATATAGTGATTACTTTCCTTGACTGCATCTAGACAGTTGCTAATCCTTGCCATTGCAGGTTTTGGCATATGATGCTGGGAATGTCAAGGCCCTTTACCGCCGTGGTCAAGCATATAGAGAATTAGGAAAATTACAAGTGAGTAATGTTTTTTAAGGTTTCTTGTTTGGCAACTTTTGCAAGTTTGGTAGAGCTTATGTTATTAATTTTCCATGCATGCTATTTTTAGAATTCTCATACCATGAGGTGAATTTTTTTAAGTGATCAGCTTTTTAGGATTTGATAATGTGAGATTCCCTTGTCCTCTGTTGCGGGTGACTCTTAGGGAGGGGTTGTAAGGAATGACACGCTATATGTAAGGATGTGATAAATGTGCCTTCCGATGGTTGAATGTCAACCTTGGTTTTATATGGTATTTCAACCATTGCCTTTGGCAAATGGCTAAAATTACTCCTGCAATATATTGCAATTGTATTTCATGCCCTATATATGTTTAGTACGTTTAAGAACCTAAGTGTTGAAACTAGTGTTTGAAAAGTTGCCGATCCGGATCGGAATCATTTGATCCGGATTGGGAATCGTCTTGAGTGATCCGGATCTCGAAATATATCGGGATCTGTAAGAACCGGATTTTTCAGCATTAATTTATAAAAAAAACTGTACTGTCATTTTCAGCATTAATTTATAATAAAAACTGTACTGTCATTTGTTCCCATCACCCTTGTCGCAATTTTACCCTTTGTGCACACATCACACACCATTGGTAACCCCCTCTGCACACGTCACACAACATTACAGTGGGCCTCCCCCGAAGTCAACATCGAATTAGTTATGCTCTAAAGCTCTTGGCTTCTATATGGCCATTTTATCTTCTCATTGCTAGATGTGGGACAACTTCAATTTGAATGGCTGGGAGAATTATTGAATCATGCTGCTTAAACTGGGCCTCAGAATATCAAATTTACCCCTCGATTTGAATTAAATTGGAGGTTTGCCAAAGTTGTCAAGAATTTCAAGTGAATTTCAAGTGTAAACACGGAGTGTGCATTTAATACACGGCTCATTTTGATGGTGTCCATAACCACATATGCTACAAAATAGTTTTCTCTCTCTAGCTTGTTTATCTACCCTATGCCATTTTTTCAATTTGTTTTCTTTTTTTACAACAATAAATGGAGTGGGGCAACTTAGGGGAATGAACGTGCTAATTTTTTTTATTTTTTGAATTTTAATATTTTTATTTTCCAATTTTCAGGGTAAAATTATTTTTTGAATTTTTTTTTAGTGTCATAATATTAAAATTTATAAGGGGATTTTTTTTAATCATATTATAAAAATGAATTAATGAGCATGTCAATTAATTTAATAATATTAATGAGCGTGTCAATTAATTTATAAATCTTAGCATATCATGTTTCCAAATTAGCGTATTGTATTCAATGAGCCTCATCAACATATTTTTTTTAATTAAATGAATTAATTAGAGTTCCAAATTAAAAAACTGCTATATAAAAGTTTTTTGCTATTTATTAGTAAAATGGTTTATTCGGTACATTTAATTGCCATATCTATTTTTATTTTTATTTTTTTGTGACTATTGTGGCGATAGGCATTTTTTTTATTTTTTGAATTTGATATCTTTATTTTTATTTTTTTGGATAAATTTTTTTTGAATTTTTTAATATCATAATATGAGAATTTATTGGGGGTTTTATTTTTATTTTTAATCATATGATATGGAAGCATTTTCTAATAATTTTTAATCATTTTTACTATAGGGAAAAGTTTATATAGAGCCGAGGCTCTAAACAATCAAATTTGAGCCTACATCAAAATTTCATTAGAAGAGATTGTTTTGATGCCCAAATATCTTCAAATCGATCATCTCGACATCAAGATGCATGGACATGAGAAAAACATGGATTTCAATTTTTGAAAATAGCATATTTTGTAATGCATTTTTGGGCCGTCAATCTTTAAGATTTTCAGATCTGTCATTTTACACTATTTTTGAAGCTTTAAATTTTATAAATAAATATAAAAATATATTTTGAGGCTATTACAAAGATTTCCAATATTGAAACCACATTTCTCAACACTATTTGAAGGTAGGCTCTAATTTAATTGTTTAGAGCTTAGGCTCTATACAAACCACACCCTTACTATAATATTATAATTAATAATTATACATTGATAACCAAATCTTGTATTTATTTATTACTTTATTTACATTATAAATTATATAATGTATTATTTTTCTTATACATTTTAAATTGATTCTTATTTGTATAGTAAAATAATTATAAAATATAAACCAACAATTTCAATTTCATAATATAATATTATAGTTGGTTTGGTTGTGATAACTTTGGATGAGCAAAGGGAATTAATAAATATTTAATACTTTAATATGATTCTAATTTTATTTTATATGGAAAATTATTATTTTTTATAATATTATAATTAATAATTATACAGACTTCCAAACAAAAAAATGTATCAGTATTCACCTATTTTTACAAAGTAATGAAAATACATAATGCATCACTCCTAATTATGTTTAGAAACTAAAATAACACTATTTTTAGAGATTTATGCTTCATCCATGATAATTCTATGATTCACCTTTTGTGTGATGTAAATTTAATGGTTAACAGTAATTTATACAGGGAAAGAAAATCTCCATATTCGCATATTGATGCAAAAAAAAAAATGAAAGTTCTTGATGGAGTACCCCCATTTTTTATTGGATTCCTAAAAAACAATATCTATAATGAATTTTAATAATTTTTTTGGATTTTTTTAATACTGAATCCGACTGATTCGGCCAATTTCCGATCTGAATCGCCGATTTACTGATCCAGATGGGTTTTTCAGGTGCCCGATTAATGGCACCAATCCGTTTTTTAAACCATTGGTTGAAACAATTGTATACCATGAAACCCTTTACATGTGTGATGCCTTCTCATCTACCGTAGCTTAAAAAACTTAATATTTCTGACAGGCAGCTGTTAAAGACTTGAGTAAGGCCAATACTATTTCTCCTGCTGATGAAACGATTGCAGAAGTTCTGAGGTATTTATTTCATAGCAAAAAAGAAAAAAAAAACTCAAAACTTGTTAAGTTCTTATAATGTGCTTGAAATTGTGATTATTAAATTCTGCAGAGCAGTGAAAGAACAACTGGGAAAAGAATGTGGAGAATTCCAAATGTCAGAAGGTTTGTAAACACTATAGAAGTTTATTTTGAGATTCACGGCATTAACTAAGAAAGAACTTCTAATATCTCATGCTCCTCTCCTTTGGAATATATCTGAGCTGTGTCTGCTATATACAGGGTTGGTCATTGAAGAAATAACAGAGGAAGAGAGTGAGCCACTGCCATCAAATTACAAAGAAGGTTCTTCATTTGCGGGATACCCTGTGATAGAATGTGAAGATCTTGGGGAAAGTCAAGATCAATGCAGATCTTCCAGAAAAGGCTCTGGCATTCAAGGAACAGATGCTGAGGCTGAGTGTTTGAAAAATTTGCAAGGCAACCCAGAAGCCATGAGGTTTGTGTTCAACCTTGTCTGATTTTAAAATATTGTCATTCTATACCTAGTCTTTTTCATGATCTTTTATTTTACTTTTTGTAATATGAAATCAGTACATGTACTTTCTTTCTATATGTATGTATGCATTCACACCCGGGAGTTAAAGATTCTTAAATCAGAGGGTAGAGTGTTACCTTGCAAAGATGTTTCTGACCTTCAATTTTTCTAATTTAAACCTGTCATATATGAAACTCATCTTCATACTTAACATTGGTTTCATCTTTTTTTGAACTCAAATCTATGTCAAAGTACTTTCTGTTTTTAAATTATAATTTTCTTGGTTGAGAGAATTACAAATATAATTTTGTAGAAGAAAAATCATAAATTTTCTAAATATAGAAATTTACAAATATAAATTTTTGAAGACAGCAAATTAAACTCATTTACAACATTTTCTTTAATGATAAAAGTAAATGAGGCTGAAGTATGACTTCAAGTACTTTCGGTGGTTACATTTTCACTTTTCTTGGTTGAGAGAAGTACAAATATAAATTGAGATTGTATACAATGAGACCATTTACCTTTGAAACAAAAATGTCACTATTACTTACAACCATCCGATGTGAAATCTGATAGCTTGGGTGTATCACAAAGTTTGAGAAAATTTCTTTTGAACTTTGAGCTTGGTCAATGAAATAAATGGAGTCATCTAATTTTACATCCAATGGTTAAGATTAATTGTGACCACCTTTGATGCAAATAATATTAGGGTTATTTTAATTTTTTATTATTCTTTTGTTTACCTCTTCAGATGTGCACAGGGATAATTAGGGTGGGTAAGAGTTTATATTGTGTTTATCTTGTATCAGTTAGGTTAGTTTAGGAAGGTAAATAGATAAGGTTAAATTAGGGGAGTTAGTTAAATCTAAGGGGAGATAAAAACGTGGGAAGCATAGCTTTGGATAAAAGGAGATCAGTACGTGAGGTTAAGGGAAGAGAGAGAAAATAGGGAAGTAGAGATAAAATAGGAAAAGTGTAGAGAGAGTTTTTCTTGTTAATGTTAATGTTAATGTTTAGATAAAAACATGGGAAGCATGATTTTGGAAAAAATGTGGAAAATCTTATCTTTTTTGGTACGTGATGGGTAAAGAAAGAAGATATGGATGATCAAGAAACTAGGTTAAGAGAGAGAAAATAGCGAAGAAGAGATAAAATAGGAAAAGTGTAGAGAGTTTTCTTGTTAATGTTTATCTTATATTTTAGTCTATTTAAAGGGAGGTTTCCCTTCATTGTAAAGAAGGTAGATGAGTTAATGAAATTTGGTCTCGTTGGGAACAAGCTTGGGATCGTTGGGAATGAGCTATAGAAAAGTTTTCTAAAGTCTTAGAAGATGTTCGAACTGAAATACGTGAGAAGAAATATGAGATGCAGTGGTTGGAGAACAATCTTCCTTGTGAAGAAGAAGTTTGCAAGCTAGATCTGCCGGCTTCTATAGAGAAGCCAGATCCACCACGTCTTATAGAACGACCACGAGATTTTGACATTAAAATTGATCTCCCAAAATTTCATGGTCAAACGTGTTCATTGGTTCAACTTGGTGTTTTTTTGGAGCTGGACTCATTCTTGGTTAGGAATAATCAGCCCAAACTCATATTCAACAATTACTCTTGGAACACAGTTGTAGGCATCAGTCTTGAAGAAAAAGTATCGAGGCTCATGATGGGACTTCATCACCAACTTTTGAGCTCGAGGTCGAGCTTCTCCCAATCCGAGGAGAATGATGCAAATAATATTATGGTTATTTTAATTTTTTATTATTCTTTTGTTTATCTCTTCAGATGTGCACAGGGATAATTAGGGGTAATTAGGGTGGGTAATAGCTTATATTGTGTTTATCTTGTATAGGTAAATAGATAAGGTTAAATTAGGGGGGTTAGTTAAATCTAAAGGGAGTTTTATGAGGAATGTTTTAGATAAAAACATGGGAAGCATAGCTTTGGATAAAAGGGGATGGTACGTGAGGTTAAGGGAAGAGAGAGAAAATAGGGAAGAAGAGATGAAATAGGAAAAGTGTAGAGAGAGTTTTTCTTATTAATATTTATCTTATTTTTTAGTCTATTTAAAGGGAGGTTTCCCTTCAATGTAAAAGAGGTGGATGATTTAATAAAATTTGGTCTCGTGAAGAGATTTTTGGGGTGGATTCCCGTGCAGACTTTGAGAGAGGGTATATTCTCTCAAACTTGGGGTGAATTCCCTTGCAGACCTTGAGAGAGGGTATATTCTCTCAACTTGTTATTTTTATTTTTTTCTGGTTTTATTTTTTTACATCAACCTTGTACCAAAGATAAATGGTTTCATTGTATACTTTTCCATATAAATTTGTAGGAGTGAAATGCATAATACAAATTTACCCGAGTGAGCCTATGCTGGTTGTCTTGGTGCATTGATCTCAAGATTTTCTAGCAACACAGGTTTGATACTTTTTAAACACGATGAGTATGGTGCTCAGATTTTTTCTTTTTTCTTTTTCTTTTTTGCATAGAGATGTTTTTCTATGGGTCTATAAAAAATTGGCAATATAAAGTGAACACTATGTTATGCATTCTTACTTGCATATTATAACATGATTAAGACAATTTTGCAGGTATAAAACTGCATGTATTGAATCTGATTTTACTATTTTTAAGAGAATGTGATTTTTAAGAGAATATTCTTTTTTAATTTTGATGAGAAAGAGAAAAGAGAGTTTGTTGTTCGATCTTATTTTTCTGGTATATTATTAGTCAAAGCATATGACGCTTGGGCTTAAACTCTTTTATTTGTGCATATGACCAAAAATTCATGGGAGGAAGATTCAAATAAAAATGTTCTTGCCTTACAGAAAAAAATTACTTTTGCTGTATTAACCCATTGTGTTCTTTCAGGACTTTCCACCACATGATTTCGAATGCTGATCCTGAAACCCTTGCTACTTTGAGTGGTAGTGGGATTTCACCTGTAATGATCAAGACAATGAGTGATATGGTTAAAAGAATGTCACCTGAGGAGCTTCAAAAGATGATTGAAGTTGCTTCTTCTTTGAATGGAAAGAACACACTGTTTGAGAATACAATGAACATGAATGGGCAGAGAACAAGTACAGGTTCAGTTCCTTCTGAGATTGAGAAGCATGAAGGGGGAGAAAGTACCACTCGTGACTTCTCTCAAACTTCAAGAGCAAGTACATCTTCAGTGAGTGTTCCTAGTACAACTGGGGACATGCAAGAGCAAATAAGAAAGCAGATGAAAGATCCAGCCATGAGGCAGGTATGTTGGTTCACATACTTTTCTCAATAAGAATGCCTTCCTCATGTTATCGCTGAAGCAAACTTTTCTTCCTCAATAATTTGCATTTTATGGATATTAATTTTATTACATTTATTGTTTGTCATGTTTGCTTTTTTATACTTTAAAGTTCTTGTATTAACTTTTTAGAAATGTATACAATGAGACCATTTACTTATGATACAAATAGGTCACAATCATTGACCATTAGGTTTGAAATCCGTTGGTTGACGACATGTAATTGTCTCTGCACAAAATCGAAAACGAAAATTTCTTGAATGTTGTGACACACTTTCATCTATTAGATTACACATCTAATAGCTAAAAGTGATCAAGACCTCCTTGTACAAAAAAAAAAAATGGTTTCATAGTAGACGATCCTCTCCCCACCCTACCCCCCACCTCCCCCCCCCTCGGGCCTTTTTTCTTTTTTCCTTACTTTTCTTTTTTTTGAATGGTTTTCATGCATCTCATGTAACTAACTGGTTTTTAACAAGTCAATTATGATTATATAAAGTGTTACCTATAATAGAAGGAAGACCCTACAAATGTGTGAATATGATGATCTCATCTCAACTGCTTTGAGTTCTTCCTCCATCCTTTTATGGAATAACATGTTGATGTTAAGATGACATCATCGGGGAACTGTTTTTATGGGTGGCTCTTGTACCAAACAGTGAGTTTGAAATATTTCACATCATTTCTGGCACTTGTCCCTTTTCTCTTTTGTTTTAGATTTTGTCAGGTTTGCATGGATAGATTGCTGATTCATTCAATGGGATTACAAAATTTAACCTTTGTTCCCCATTTCTATGGAAAAATGTAGCCTTTGTTCCCCATTTCTATGATAAAAGAAACTGACGTTAAGAAGAAAGAAACTGAGTTAATTTGTGCCACTCATAAATAAAGAAGTAACCAAATGGCCGATTTTCTTGTGGGTCTGAGAATTGACTTGTTTCTTTTAGTCTGGTTAGCTTTTTCTCGGTCTTTTCCTTCATTATGCTTCAATGGTGCTCTCTCTTATTTTAGTAATGCCCTTGATGAACATGAGTGGCAGATGTTTGGTTCTATGGTTAAGAACATGAGCCCAGAAATGATGACAAGTATGGGTGAGCAGTTTGGGTTCAAGATCTCAAGAGAGGATGCATTGAAAGCTCAACAAGCAATGTCATCACTTTCTCCTGAGGATTTGGACAAAATGGTATGCAGTCTCCTTTTTTTGTATTTTTCCTTGGCATATTTTAAATTTGTTGATCGTTCTTGAGTTTGGTGGATGTATTTGATTTCTTCTATTGAGAAATATGTAGTCATTCCTGTTTGCGTCTCTTTCTCTGGAGAGATGGGGTCTCTCACTGAGATGGGGTCTCTCACTTTCTCTCTCTAGAGAGTGGTGTGGATTCATTGAGAGATCCTCATCATTCAACATGGCATTGCTTTGCATTAGAATGGTGTATTTGATCCGTACAAAACCTGGGATGCTACAGATGCGCTGGGCAGAGAAACTACAAAAAGCAACTGACTGTGCGAAGACAACGAAGAACTGGCTCTTAGGAAGACCAGGATTGATCTTCGCGCTCTGCATACTCATCTTAGCCATTATTCTTCACTGGATGGGTTTCATTGGTGGTTGATTCAAGCCATCTCTTTTGGACGTGTGCCATGTACGATTCCTTAGCCCTTCATAGCTTTGTCTTATTAGCATGCATGCAGGCACGCATGCTACATGCACATTCATTATATACATACATGCATACTTACATGTCATTGTTTTTTGGGAAATTTACACACGGACCGGGTTTTTTTACTGTTATAATGCTATGGCCCAAAAATAGCCCATTATTATCTGGAAGGACGGATCTACGAGTTTTTTTCTTTTTTGTGCCAAATTTGCGCTCGGTCCGATGTTTCAAACATCGGACCCCTTCTCTGTTCTGTCTCTCCTGCTCTGGGTCCTCGCTCTCTTCGTGGTTCAATTTCGCTTTCGCTTATCCTGGGCCTGTCTCTCTCTCTCTCTCAAAGCTCTACTCCCATTACCTCCAGACCTCGCTCTCTCTCTTATAGATTTGGAATTTTTGGGGAAAAGGATTTGGAAATTTTTTGGGGAAAAAACAATAAAAATCTTCGCAACAATTGGAACATGTGCTCGATGATACAATGGAAGCTGATCAGCACTAAAGCCACCGACACCTTTCCGCAACCTATCTCTCTCTCTCTCAAACTTTTATTTGTCTGTTCTCTCTCCGAAACTTGCCTGTGTTTTGTACTCTGATGCAAATCCTTGCACCCTCGATGAGAGAGAGTGATGCAAATCCCTGCACCCTCGATGAGAGAGAGAGATGCAAATCCTTGCACCTTGCAAATCCTTTGTACTCTGACGCAAATCCTTGAAAATCCTTTTATTTATCAGCACTAAACTTTTAGTTATTTCTTCGCAGAAAAATGGTGCAAATCCTTGCACCTTCAATGTAATGCCAAATGGGATCCACAAAAAGTTTTCATTAAAGCAGGACCTGTGACTGCAAAAATGTGGAATTCCTTTATGCTAAAGACTCAGCAGAAGCAATAGCTTCGTACAACTTTTCCCCAAAAATAATTCAAATTTGTTTCTCCAAAATATCTCAAATCTACAAGAGAGAGAGATTTGCAGGTAATGGGAGTAAGGCTTTGAGAGAGAGGCCCGAGATAAGAGAAACAGAGCAAGATTGAACCAAAGAGAGAAATGACCGAGAGACATAAGAGAGGAGACAGAAAGAAGAGAAGTTTTTGAGGGGATAAATAACCGGGGGCAAGTTTGGTAAAAAAGAAAAAAAATATTATGAATCCTTCCTTCCAAGTAAAAACTGGTTTTTGTGGGGTCATACCGTTATAACGGTAAAAAAAACCCGTTCTGTACATAAATTTCCCTTGTAATTTTAAGATGTTGATCTTGCTTGGCTTATGAAATGATGAGGGGGGATAGTCCGTCCATGTTATCATAGCATGCACGCACATATTCATATAACATGCTTATTATATGCATGCATACATACATGCATGTATGCACATCATTGTAAGTTTAAAAATGTTGATATTTGATTGGCTTATGCCATAGGCTTATGAAATGATGGAAGAGAGGGAATGGTCCATCCATATTATGGGTATGTGTGCCAAAGGTCCAGCTTATTGATTGCTCTCTATTGATAGAGGAATATGCCTGGTTCTAAGATTATTGTAATTTATCAAGGCAGGTAGTAGAGATAGAGAAAACTGGTGGGTGAAGAGACCTGCTATTTACTCTCTTTGTTTTTTCTTTTCCTTTTTGTCAAAGAGAGTTTCCTTTGGGTTCTCTGTTACTATTTGTGTATTATTCACCTCCCTGGTTTTTCTGACAGCTCATCATAACTGTTCATTGTTGAGTATGTATGATAGATATGACATTTAGCATATTATTTGTATTCCGCAGGTATCATTTATTAGCACATATACAATGTTCCTCTGGGAGCTAACTGTTTATTTGCTCCCTCAGGTAAAAAAACCGTGCTTGGAAAGATTTTTTGGATTTGAAAATTTGGGATCCATTTGAACAGAGAATTTTGAACTCTTTAAAACATAGATCTTTAGTTTTCATTGCGTATGGTGTTCGTTCAATTTTGATGCATTAATTTTTTTCAAGCTCACATATTTTGTATTTGATCTTTCTTTTCTTTGCTTATTTATTTATTCATTTGAGTTAGTCTCTACTCATCGAGGCAGCAGTAGGGGGTGCATCCTAAGATTTGGAATCCCAAAGGTACTCGCACTCCTAGCTCGGTTTTTGCACAAGGGAGTAATGGATAATTTGCTCCTTTGCGAGCATAAAATCATTTGGCATCAACTATAGCTCGAGACACTTTTAGTTTTAGGAGAGGGGCTTGGGGCATCAAACCTTCCGGTTCTGTGCTGTGAGCCACGAGCTTTGAGAAAAAAAAGGTAAAAAGGTACTTGAAAATCAAAGCCCTATTTTTGGAGATTTTTGGGTGGATTTCAATCTTCTTTTTTTCACCCAAAATGGCGGATTTCAATCCCCAAATTTTCATACACCCACCATTTTTTTTTTTTGGGGGAGGGGTGGTGTCAATGTGTAAGAAAGCCACAACGTAATGACTAAGGTGTGGGGTTGCTACTGCTTTCCTGCATCCACCAATTTCCTATTCACATATGGTATAAGTGTTACTAGTGTGGGGAAGGTGACTTATTTGGTGAGATATTGGTGTCTAAAATTTCTAACGTTTCACCGGGTGTTTAGAGTAGGATATTAGCGGTCGGAAACATCAATATCTTCTAAATATGAATGTCTTTTGAAAATGCAATATCTTAAGATATTGTTCTTCAAAATTACAAGTATCTCATAAGGGGTCTTAGTGAGATATTAGTGTTCAAGTTACCTATATCACAGCAATCGAATGGTCTAAATATTAGATTTGCTATTAATATCACATAAAGTGCTTACGGTGAGATAGTAAAATATAAAAAAATCAATATCTCATATGGGCATAGGTAGGTTTCTAAAATGTGCTATGGTTTTGATGGAGATGAAAAATTAAGAACTGCTCCACCAATCACTAACTCATTCTAGACCTTTGAAGACTTTCTGACACTACGATTAAAGAAAAAAAAAGAAAGAAAGAAAGGTGCATGTAGTGTTAATTGGTGCATCTCTTGAAGTTAGTTTGATAAATTTTCTTTTATTTTTTAGTCTCCAGAGATATCCAAATTGGAGTGTCAATTATCTTTGGGGAAATTTATCATACTCCACCTGAACTATCAACTATTTAATATTTCACATACTTATCAAACCATAGCTAAAATGTCAACTATTTGAACTCGTAATTGTGTCTCTTTTGATGGGATTTTTTAAACTAAATTAAAATAAATGAATGATATATTAAATAGTTCATCACTCGACTGCTTTTTAATAAGTTCCCCTTATCTGAAACATGACGGTTCCGTAATGTACCTCTAAATTTTAAAGCAAGCCATTTTTATGTTAGCTCTTATCTCTTCCAATATAAACAATTTCAGGATATTATTGTAATGGATGAAATTTCTATAAGGCCTAGGCTTTATGAAAACAAAATAAAACCTCACTTCAAATCCTTGTCTTGAAAGCACAACGGAGACCTCTATGATGGTTTTAAAATCAATTTCCAATACTGACAACAAAATTCGAAACTCAAAAAATGGTATAAAACTATAGATCTTGCAGATTTTTCAACACTTATTTTATGGCGAAATGGACGGTCTAGATAATTTTTTACAATATACACTATTTTTAGAGTTTGAATTTTTTTTTTTTTCACAATTATAATATTTTAAGCTAAGATAATCGATGCAAAGTTTTTCCAATGCTTGAATTGCCATTTTTTATGAGTTATGAGGTGAAGCTTTACTTATTTTGATAGGGCTGCAGCCAAACAATTTTCCTATTGTTGTAATAGCACAATAATATTTTGGAAGAGAGGTTTATGTGTTGTTCAGTTCCAACAGGAAGAATTTAATTTTATTATTTGGTACATCCTCAACTTTGCCCTAAATTATTTAGATTCCCCTCCAACTCATGTATTTGACAATAACATGACCTTCCAGGACTGATATAAAATATAAAAATAGAGAGGCTTTGAAGACAAGAGGGCCAAAAGAACCTATTCTTTGACATTGAAAATCTTTGGGCTTCATCATCTTACAACATCATTGTATTTATGTATCAACTCTTAGGCAAGTGACAAAACATTCCACCTAACCTTGTATTGTCTTAGGAATGCATCACCCCTTTTTCTCTCACTAGAACCATTGAGATAATTTAAACAATACTATGCAGTTAAGGCATTAGTCACCTTAGTTTCTCTTAACCTCAAGTAAAAGCCCATTTGTAAAGTG